CTGTCATATTCTTTGGTGTGCGCGGTGGCGACACAACCTGTACGTAACAACCTCAGTGTACATGACCCGGGAAATAACTGTTCCTTTGTGAGCGTTCTGTGACAAGTAGCATGACATGTGTGCATGACAAGCTAGCCCAATGAGGCGCTGAGTTGTAAAAAGTGGCGTATCCGAATTTTTTTGCAGTGTTTGTGTTATCCTTCCGCTGGACGAAAGCTGCTTCGGTCAATTCTCGCAGCTGAACTGTTCTTTCAGTCATAAAAGTTAAAGGAAGTAAAGGCAGATGTCAGCTGCATTTGTCTCGTGATTTTTTTCTTCCTCCCTTTTGTACCGATGGAGGCTTCAGTTTAATCTTACTGTTCGTGAGATGTTTGGTAAGAAATGTGACCATGCCTAATCCATACCTTGTATACATACGAGTCCTGTCAACAATGTTCTTTTTAAAACATAAATATTTCATCTACACCTCTCCACTTGGTTCCCCATATTTTTGGTGAATACTTGAGGTCCTAAGGGGGGGGGACAATTTTCAGTCAGGTACTTTTGCAATCCACCGCCTTTCCGCCCTACACTCCCTACTTCGGACTTAAGTCGCGATCCGTTGCTGTGCTTCTTTCACACAAAATCGTGCTTCTTAAGGAAACGTGTTATAACAGGCAATATTTGAAACAGCCATCGGTGAGGAAACTCCGTCTCGTGTGTTAATGGTGGACTATCACAAGTGCTTTTTTTAATTGATCTATCTTATCTAGCGTGCGTTGATTAATTTTTACTCCCTGGATTGTGAAATGTCTGGAAATGTTAAGCTGTTTTACGTGGTCGTTACAATGTCTATTTACTTGAAAGCACTTTGCGTTCTACTTGAAGCATCGGGTTTGATTGTAATTTATTTTATAACACCAAATGAATTATTCAGAAATTCAATTATTTCAAGTACGTTATTTTCCCGCGAATTATTACGTGGAAAACAGCTAACGATGTTTATTCAACGTAATTCCTCAATTTCAATGCTGTTGGCTGACTGCAGGATGGTTTCTGTCGAAATCTTGGTTCGTGTTGAAAACATTTTCTTACAATTTCGTAGCGATGCTTAATACTCTCAACATTTTTTTTTTCATGATTTAGATTATTTTTCCACTAATTTTATCCTCGGCACATATTTTCCTGTGGCGACTGTTTTATTGATGAGTTAACGACAGCAGACTACTAGTGATTTTAAGAAAACCATCATAATGCAGAATGCAATAAGCCCAATGAATTACGTGACGTCAGAAGGCGATTCGGAACCGAAAGCTAGCCTTCTGTTTGGTGCGCGAAAATCCTGTTATAAATAGCTTTTAACTGGGTGAATCGGCAAGTCATCTTGAGAAAACAAGTGCATCGCTTGCTGTTTGACAATTTGTTTTATGCAAATGAGAGACGCTGCGTGTCACCGAACGGGCGTTCTTTTTAAGCCGTAAATCATTCAGTTATTTTGGTTTTAAATGGCTTCCCACGTTTCCGTGGCAACGTGTCTGTGCAATTCTACAATGTGCTACTGTGTGAATTGAAACTCGGAACAAAATTAACGAAAATAAAGAAAGCTACGTTGTGACAGCTATTTATAATTTTGTCTTAATTGCAGACCTAAAGTTTTAAAAAAAAGGTTTACGGCGAAACACAGCAAAGAGGATGAGATTCGTTTTTAAGCTTTTCCGCTCTTTCGGTTTCAGCATACAGTGAAATTAATAGTGGTACATGTTCTTTGTGTTTGTAATTTCATGCCACCAAAGTGTGTTTTGTGGCTGTCAATTAAGCTTGCGGTTTACCTTCTCAGCCATTCGGTGCTTTCGTAATTGAGCAATATTACAGAGACACAGCGAACAGGAGCTTTCTAAGCCGAGTGTGCGATTTTAACTCAATTTCTGCGAAGGACATCTCTTGTTAGTTTTGCTTACGAGTATACCCCACCAGAAATAATTAAAATTTGTACAAGTTAGCTTAAAACTTGATCTTTTCTTTTTCAGTGTCCGATGTTTCTTTTAGTGTCAAACATAGCAAAACGTTTATTGTTTAGCTGTGCTAAAATTTATGGCTTTCACTGATGTTTTTTGACATGAAAATGAGATTTATGTGAATATCGCCTCGGAGCAGGATGATAGCTTGTGATATTTATGATTTGTTGGGGTGATATTACATCAGGCGAATTAAGAAATTCGAACTTCGCGTAGGATGGAGGAAAAGGAAAAAAATAAAAAACACTGTCGTGTTCGACCTCGAATCTTTTTGGCAATTTTCTTCCGAGTATATTCCAGTATGCTGCCAATATGGTTTGTTTTGCTTGGTGGGAAAAAGCATCGTTTGACCGAAATGACATGTTACTCTACTTGTCACTTCGTTTCGTTGTAAACAAAACGAAATGTATAGATATATTTATATTCCTGTATCAGTAAGCTCCATAGGAGCGTTTCTTGACGGAAATTGCATTCAACAGGCTTGATGTAATGGTTTTGACCCGTGGTAAAGTGACGGTTTTTTACGTCATGGGAACCACAAGTGTTTTCAAGAACAATCTCCCGCGTGGGTTTTTATTTTACTTTAGAGTGTAAATAAATCTTTTTTCAGGGTAAATTATAGTAGTTTGATTCTCAGTCCGGATGTCAACAGATAAAACCCTATTTTAGTTTTTTCCCTCAGGTTTTATATCATGTCGTTTCTTAGGTTAAATTGAAGAAAGGGAGAGAGAAGTAAACTCCTTGGTTTGTTAAAACAGTGATTTAAAAGCAAGTTTTAAAGTATTCTGTTCTTGAAGATCTTCAAATTTTGATGTCTACCTCTCGCTTGGAAATTTGGACAAAATATTAAAATCGGACCTGACAGGTTTCTGTGCGTTTAATGCCGAAAAAGAAAATAAATAAATAACATACAGTGTCGACAGAGGAAAAATTAAATACCTTTCGTCTTTGTCGTTGAAAGCGATTGAGAAATATCTCATAATTGATACAGGAGAGTTGAAAAATTGCAAATATATTCTTTTTTTTCACGATTGCTAAGATAAGACCTGAAAAATATGTATAATATTAAAATAGGCGAGAATATTGTTTGAATCCCTACAAGTAAATCAGTGAAAGTGGTTAATAATGTGGACTCGGAAATGTCGCTAATGAAGCTTCCTGTAATGATATTTTCAGCCAATAGTGTTGAAGCGTGAACCGCTCAGCCAATCGGGTGACAGCTGGTCGCTTTTGGCGCGATTTCGTGCGCGTCAGGCCGCATTTACCGCCAAAACTCTGGTGCGCCGGCGATAGCTCATGCATATTAATTTTCATAAATTATTTGTGATATTTTGTATGCAGATGAGTGGCCTGGCAACAGGTGGCCCAACAAGTAGCCTAGAGATCTCATCGAGTACAGCTTACACAGCTCGAGTTTCCCCGTTCCACAGCAAACCCCGCCTCCAAAACACCCTGAATAATAGCCGAGATGTTTCGCTAATGGGCCCGAGGCCTTGTCTTGAGTGTTTATATCCCCCTTGCTTTCTCTTATTATCGGAAATGGTTAGAAACTGCATTTTATTTGAGAGAGGCTCCACTGGACAGCCACTAGGATTTGTGTTCTGAGCCCGAGAGTCGGTGTGGGAGTTGCGTTTGAATGAACATCGACCGTGGTTTCCGGTTGGATTTCTGAAAATTCTATAGGAACATGTGGGCAGTGAAATATTGTTAATAGCTTCTGTTGACGGATGATCGCGAGATGAATTTCCAAGACAAGAATTATCTCCATTTATTAAACTGTGGTATTGGCGCGGATGGCTCGTTTCTTTCCTGGAGAATGGTGAATTTCGTACTGGTAAGATATGACGTTGTTGTCAGTGGACGCAACTACTGAGAAATGCCGAAATCGTTCTTGATCAAAAAGGGAAGAGAATATGGAAGCCTGTCTTCAAACTCCGGCTTCCAAACAGACCCGGCTGCTACCGAAGGTGAGCTAGGCGTTTTCGCCTGTTTCAAAATATCTTTCCTTTTTATTATTATTTTATATAATTTTTTTCGGGCCACGCTTTTGTATTTTGCTTGGTTGTTTCGTTTTGTGCCGTGGCCTGACACAGAGAAATTTGTTGATTGTATTCTCTTGGTAACACCTGTTGGGTTTTTTTCTCTCGCTTACCTTTTTAGGAGCAACGAGCGAGTCGGGAAAGGCATCGGGCTTACAAACCGTACCACATACCAAGCTGAAACACCGCGAAAACAGTAAAAAAGCGAACGGACTCGCCGAGGAGGACACTAAAGAAGAGAGTTTAGATGAAAACGGGAATTGTGTTGAAGATTGTGGCGCTGAACGACGTGGGGATCGACGCCAAAGAGGCGCTGAACACACCAGCGGTGGTCGAAGCCGGTACGTGTGTGCCGAATGTGGTAAATCGTATGCCACGTCGTCGAATCTCTCCCGACATAAGCAGACTCACAGAAGCTTGGACAGTAAGCTTGCCAAACGCTGCGAACACTGCGGCAAGGCCTACGTATCTATGCCGGCCCTGGCTATGCATGTTTTGACGCACAAGCTTCTTCACAAGTGTGACGTCTGCGGGAAAGCCTTCAGCCGTCCGTGGCTTTTACAAGGACACATGAGGTCGCACACGGGTGAGAGGCCTTTCCTATGCCCTGAATGCAATAAGGCATTCGCAGATCGCTCGAATCTCCGGGCGCACATGCAGACGCACTCCCCGCTCAAGCAATTCAAGTGCGACCGCTGCGATCGAACGTTCGCTCTGAAATCATACCTCAATAAACACGCCGAGTCCGCCTGCGCTCGCGAGATCACTACAAACAAAGCGCAGTAAACGGCAACCGACACGATTCTTCGTTCTAGAAGCTGAGGTGAATAAAGAAAAAAGCTAAAGCAAAACACAACTAACATAGGTAGTTAATGTAGCATTGTGTTCATGTAATGTTATTGGTCGTATAACCTGTAGAGCGTTTATCGTGAAATAGAGGATGTAGATTTAAAATTGCAGATTTGGCTCTGCGAAAAGACGCTTCAAAAATTGTGGAAAAAAATATTTCAGGCTGAATTTATCTTAAGCCAAAGGATGAGTTTGTCATGATTAATCTGCTATATGTCTCAACTGAGAGACATGCAACCAAGAGTATTAAGAGATTTAAGTTCTTTCTGGGAAAGAAAAAATATATTAGCTGTCATTTTTGGTAGTATTTACCTTGTCCGACAGTGAAAAATAAGCGTATTTGCTTTGGCTGTTCGAGAGGAAGTTGATTGGGCTTCGCAAAAGGAGAGTTTTTATTTATCCGCTATGCCACCAAGAGTTCGATTTCATTTGAAATCTCACGGAAATATCACTGAAGTAAAATATATTCACTATGGGAAAATTCTCCTCCTGCTATGCTGTAAATCCATCATCTTATTTCGCTAGAAAGTAAGAGTTTTTTTTCGTGTTTATTGGCGCAATTTCTAAGGGTATTTGGCTCCCTTCGTTAGTGGCAAATTCGTTGTTAATTTTAGCCTTGTTGGTTCAGTTGTATTTTGTATTCATTTTTCTTACGTTTTTAATATTAATAAGCGGCCATTTCCTTTACTTTAAAACTGAATAATTCGACCGCGTCGATGATTTTCTCCGCTTTATAATTTCAAAACGATCATACGGAAAATAAATTCAGCAAAGAAAATAATTTGTAGAAAGATTTCGAATTTACACAGGCTGCACTGCCAGGCGGTTTGTTTGCTATGTTTCATGAATTAAAATTCATAATTTATTCTTTCGCTAAAAACCACGTCTTTTGAATTAAGTAATTGTATTGAAGACGTCGTGAAGAACCTTGGGGTATGGTTTGGAAAGGATTTCCATTACAGTTGGGTTTCAAAATATAATTGAATAGAATTTTTAATTTTCCTCGCCATTGTGAGGAATTGGCCGAGGCGCACGACAAGATGTTTTAAGCCCTGAATTATCAATTTAAATCCTTGAAACACAAGACCAACGTTAGCGCGGAAAGCTAGGAAGTTTGCGTATCGTTTATTCCACGGCCTTTTTACGGCCGTTGAATATTTGGTGATCAAATTATATTACACTCGTTTTGGACGATAACAATCTGTCGTTAGATAGTGAAAAGGTTCGAATCCTTCCCGGTTCACCTCTAGTAAAAGCGTTATTTACATCATAAATCTTCTGATGCAGGGTTTATGGAGAAACTATCGCTGACCTTTAGTCGTTAATTGCCATTTTCTCTGTAGTTAATACATTTGTCGTTGTTTCAAGAAAATGTAAGACATGAGGTTACCTTTTGGCAAGCTTTATTGGACTGACTTATAAATTACAATCTCCATTCGTGTTTCGATTGCTCTAAGAGATTTTAAGATTTGATATAGGTTTTGGGGTTCCTATTACATGTCTGTACACGATGTTCAGGTCATTTAAAGGGCTAAGGTTATTTGCATGTATTAAGGGCATTTGTTGAGATCAATGAATTACAGCCATGTAAAATTAATTGTACATATATTAACGTGTAAAAAGGAAATCTTAGGAAATGCATTTTATCCTTTCAGTCCTAATCAGAAAGTAATTTTTTTTCTTGAAATGTCAATGAACAGTCGGCATGCAGGTCATGGGAATTTGGAAATTGATCAGCAAGAGGAATTTGGTAGTGGGATAAACGAATTGTGAGGGATAATATGTACATACCTGGCGATATCAGGCGATACCAGGGGTTAAGATACGGTAGTAATTGATCGCACTGCTCGGTCGGGCGATATCAGAGGACTTTCTGCTCTTATGGGGCTCCTCAGTTTTATCTGCTTCACAGATTTTGAGATATTACTTGCGTACACTGAAAACACGCCTCAACATTGTTAATGTTTTAGCTTGTATATTTTAAATACCGTATTATTAAGGTACATTTGCTATGTAACCTTTAAAATTTCTATTTTGCTAGTCAGAAAAAATGCTATATTTGCGCTTTGCGTTAAACTGCTTATTTCACTTTTTGTGGAAATGTCGTTGTCATTTCGTTGCAAGAAATGGAGTGTAACCTAGCAGCAGCAGGTCTGTGAACAGATCCAGGGGAATATTTTCTGTATTAACTACTTTAAAGGCCCCCAGTGAGCACCTTCAAAGACTTGTCTGACGTCACAGGTCAAGTTCATATCACGTTGATAATCTGTTTGTAATCTATTGTGGGTTTTCTTCTCATTCAAAGGAGGCTTCTGCAGTAAATGTATTCCTTTGTTGTGGAATCTCTGATTAAACTGTGACAGGTTGCCATTGAGTCTGTGTGTTTCCTGGTTAGTCTATTTTCTCATTCAGCAGCACGGCACGACAGGTTCCGTGTTTAAAAAAGTTCTTATGTTTCGGAGAAATCGGAGCCGAAAGTCGTGCAGACAGGTGTACTAAATGGGGAAAGGGGCTCGTGTCGGGCTCCACTCATATCGAAGCAATTTAAGAAAAAAAGCCACTAAAAGAAATAGGGGCAATGTTTGCTAGATTCTAACGGACAACAGTTTTTTTTTGGGGGGGGGAGGGTAGGGTGAGGTTTGAGGGTTTTTTGTTTTGTTTTTTTTTTTTTATTCTTTCTCTTGTGACCAACTAGCAAACGAGAAAAAAGGAGCGGAAAAATAGCCGCGCAAATTTTACGGACGAATAAAAATGGAGTAAAATGAAGGCGAAGATGTTTTTGTAGTAACGGCTATTCGACCTGTGAAAAGTCGATTTTGCTGGGTTTTTTTTCTGACGGGCTTCAGTACACACTGATTATTATGCTGAGCGCTTACTCGTGGGGTTATCTCGAACTCGCGATTCATCGTTTCAAATGCTAAACACCTTCAATGATTTCACATATTATATGACTGAGAAAACTACTTCATTGTGATTGGCTAAGAACAGGCCAATTTATCGCTAATTTTTAATTTGCACTACAGTGCAAATTAACGCGAGTCCGTTTGTAATTTTCTCAGCCGTATAATAAATGAGTAATCGTATGAAAGCTCGAGCAATTAAGGATTTACACTACTCGTGAAACTGGAAAATTCTTTCAAATAACACTTGCCTAAAAGCTCGTGCAATTTTGAGAGAACTTTCAAATATCACTCGTGGGAGATCCTTAATTGCTCGAGCTTTCATACGATTACCCACACAAATATGGGTTTTTACGAGCCAAAATACAAAATGCACCCAGAAATTAAAATAAATGAAAACTGCCATCTGATAAATGTAGAATTCTAAAGGACGTTCGCGCTTATTGTTTCTGCGCATCCTTACTGCGCACGCAAATTCACTCGAGCGCGCGCTAAGCAATAAAATGAACAATGATAGGGCAGATGGCCATTACTATAGCTTTGCCTGGAATTAACGACCTTGGACGTTCGGTGACTCCTATTTTTCTTTTTGATGGATCATTTTCTCTACTGATTTTCTACGTTTAGCGAAAAAATGAAGAAAACCTATCGACTAGAAGTTTGAATTGTTTGCAAAATGCACCATCGAATTCCGTTCTTTTTAGCTCTTCCTTTATCCTTGCGACGTTTTCAAATGCCTCTTGAAGGGTTAAGTTTTTGTGAAAAAGTTGATAGAATTTGGAATTATTTACGCAACAGACCCACTTCTACAAAATATGACCAGGATCGTTTGCCTCCGTTGACTCACCTCTGGTATTTTTAACTATAAACCCCTGTAAACCATGCTGAATTACGTGCGCCAATTTTTCAAAATCAGGCTAGTTTTCCAAACGCTTTATCTCTGAAACGAAGTCGGTGACCCCCACTTTTTTTTCTTTTGCATTTCTGACGCAAGTAACCCGTTATCTGACTGCCGTAAAAATTAAAAAAAACCTACTGACTGGAAATTTTTCGTCCGAACGTGCTTAATTAGGCATATATTACTTTGCCTAATTCTCGGAGCTGTAGACAACGAAAGTTGCCGAATATCTGCACAGCTTTGAGGTGAACAACTTCGTTCCCAGGTCCTTTCCCTTAGAAATTAGGAGAGGCGGGTAAAGCCCTGGGAATGAGGTTTTTCAAGTGAAAAATGTCCTACAGAAGAGTGAAAGCATGCATACGCGGCAATGCCGAAACGTATTATGGGTGGTGGAAGTATACTGTTGTAATTTCGAAACGGGGACCAATATGGTAAGGACATTTCCGCCCAAGTAAAGTTTCCAGTAGCGAATGGGCCACTCGGGCCGGGAGCGAAGAAGGACGGCCCTTTTCGCAGGCTAAGTTTCCAGAAAATCCAGAAATTGTTGAATTTCCGAAGAGGGAACCATTCCACCGAAAATTCCGGAAATTCCAGGAGGAAAGCCAAATGGAAAGGAAAATGGATTCAAAAATTTCGGTATACCTTGCAACGTTGTCCTCTTTTCCGGAAATTCAAGAAAATACTGTTCCATTCGCCACTGGAAATTTCCGGAAAAGCAAACCGGAATTTCTTGTAGAATGGAAAGCGTGCAAGGTTTTTCCTTCGCTCGGTGTTAGTATTACCCATAATAATATGTGTCCCATTTTCCTCTCAACCAACTTTAGCGATTCCCGGCGACCACTGTATTTTTCTGTTTACTGGATGATCAATGCCTAAGACAGAGACAAAGGACTGCTCGCGGTCTTGAAGTTTAAATCATTTTTGTCATATGGAAAGGTGAAGAGACTATGATCTGAGATCAAAGTCTCTTTTCTTACGTTTGTGGTGGGCAGTTTCAGGGCGTAAAAGATCAAAAGCCACACAGTTGTGTTTCTGAAATGGGTTTATCATTTAAGACCCAAGGATTCCGATGAAACAAACGTAGATGTTTTTTTTTTCGATTGCGAAAAGTTTAATATAGCAGCTTATGCGTCCCATGGCGAGGCAAGGACTGGTGTGATGTATAAAACGATCAATGAGATCACGAGAAAGTACTTTCTGAACCGCCTCGTCACACTGAACCTTAAACACTACAAAGAAATATAATTTTTGATGCAAGAATGCAATGATTGCTATCCTCGTGGATGAACACCGTGTTTGCTTTTATCATAGTGCTTTTATTCAGTGAACATTACAAGAGACCTTTACGCATGCGCTTGAAGAATGTCGTAGCGATGTCCGTAGCGATGTATTGCATGCAGAGCTAAACTATTACGCGCGTGCAGTATTTGGTCAGTGACCATTCACGCCAGTCATGAAGCTTCTGCGAACTTCTGAGAATTAAATAAAGTAGTTGTGTACGTTCGCGAAGGGAGCGGATGTACACAGGTTGAGAGGAGGCATCTATGCTAGACTACCAAAAGCACTCTGGTGACACCTTTATAACGAATATTTGACAGTTACGTGATCTATGGCTCAGGTTGTCAACTTTATGACCTAGAGCCAGTGATCAACCGGCCGGTGATTCTTCCTCAAATATGCTCGTCAGGATAATTTGTGTTTGATAACGAATTTTGGCAGACGTAGCTTTCATACAATTGTGAGAAATCACAGCGCACTTATTTCTCCGCCGTTGTTCCAGGACGGTCGGTTGGTCTCCACCCACAACCGTTCAATTAGGTCACCAACAGACCTTCGAGAAGTTTTTAAGAAAACTCGCTTTTCTCCTCCACACGAAATTTATGAACCCATATTTGTGTGGGTAATTGTTTTATTACTTAGCTCTTATTAACCGAGCAGGAGGTTTGTATGGGAGAATCTTGATCGAGGTCGTGAGTACAGACCGAACGCAGTGAGGTCTGTACACACGACCAAGGTAAAGATTTTCCCATGCAGACCGACGCAGGGAAGGTACGTTTTTTATTCGGGGGGGGGGGGGGGGGGGGG